CTGCTCCCGGTAAAGCGCCTCAGCTCTCCCTTGCCCGCACTGCTCCCGGTAAAGCGCCTCAGCTCTCCCTTGCCCGCACTGCTCCCACTGGAGCTGCGGGGGGACCGTTCTCCCTGAGGAACGGGACGGGACAGAGCTCCTGCTGCGACCTCCCCCGGGACACCCGCACTGCTGTAACCCTCTGCCCCTCCACGACTGCCGGGCGGGAGCACACGGGAAGGCAGAAGCTGCGTTAGCGCCACTCCGCTTTTTTGCGAGCTGTGCCGCAAATGCACGCTCGTGCCTCTGGCAGCTGCCGGGCAGAAACTGCCGGGAAGTAGAAAATCCGCACATACACACCCTGCCGAGCAAGGAGGAACGGCTAAACTGTCTCGTCCCCGCTTCCACCTACTCTCATCCTATATTCCGGGACAGGTGGGGGGCCCGCCTCTTCTCCACCTCGACGGGGCCGGCGCTGCCGGTCTCTCCTCCCCTCTCCTCCTTGCTCCCTCCCAATCCTCCTCCTCCTTGGCGTCCCCAGAGGGAGCCCCTGCGCTCCGCGACCGAGTGGAGAGCGCAGCCGGGCGCACCCCGTCCCACAGCCGGCTCCAGCCGCTCCGCAAGCCCTTGTGCACCGGCCGCCGCCTGTAGCAGGAGGAGCAGAGGTGGGAGGAGGAGGAGGAGGAGGAGAAGGAGGAGGAAGGCAGCAGCCCGTCCGCAGCGGGGCACGCACGTGTGCGCGCAGACCTCGACGGCCGCCCTCCAGCATGCTGCTCGGAGCCGCGCAGGGCAGAGCGCCGGAGAGGAGCTGATCGCTGCCGCGGGAGAAGAGCAGAGGGGAGCAGGAGCGGCTCCGCGGAACCATCCGTGCGCCCGTCCCGTCCGACCCGCAGCCACTGCGCCGAGGGAGCGGCGGTCCCGCAGCATGGGCGGCCGCAGCCCCCTCGCTGCCGCCGGGCCCCGCGGCGCCGCTGTCCTGGTGCTGCTGCTGGGGCGCCTCGCTCTCTGCCTTGCCGTGGAGGGAAAGAAAGGTAGGGGGCCGGGGGGGAGAGGGCAGCGGGGTCCCGCCGCCCTTTGCTAGCTGCGTACTGGGGGACCAGAGAGCCGGCGCTGCGGGCGGCTGCGTTCCGCGGCCTCCCGTGGGGAGAGGCGGAGGGAAAGTCCCAACTACTTATTTCCCTAAGAAAAAAACCAAATCAAAACAAAAAACCCACCCCAAAAACAGAGAGAGGGGAGAAACGGGGAGAAGACTAAACCTATAGCAGCGATCACGCAGCCCTGACTTCCTGATTCTTGGTTTATTTTCTTTTGTGGGGGTGGAGGAAATAAAAGGGAATAAGCCTTGGCACATCTCATCGGTTGTGCTTCTTTAGTGTTTCTTTTTTCTTCTTTCCCCCTTCCCACGTTTCCCAGTCACTCCCCGGAGAGCACTTCCCGGCTCAGCCCAGCACAGCCGCTCTCGGCTCCCTTGCACCGGGGCGGCGGGGAAAAGCCGCGGGGTTCCCGAGTAAGCGCCGCTCCGGTAACCCGCTGTCGCACTGACCCGGACACCTCCGCTTGTCCTGTTCAGAAATAGTCATAGTGATAATAGAAAAAAGTATACACCTGGGGAGGAGGTGACTGAAAAAAAGGGAAACTTTGTGTGGGTTCTGGTTATCAGAAAGAGGAGGGATTAATCCCTCCGTCCCGTCCCGTCCCGAGGCTGCCGGCGCTGCCAGCCCCGGCGCTGCCCGCCCGTGCCGGCGGTGCGTGGGAGCAGCTCGGCGGGGCTGGCTGTGGGGCAGGGGCGTGGGGCTGCTGCGGGTGCTTGGGTTTTCCTTCTTCAGTGGAGAAGCTGTCTCAGAGGATGAGAAGCCGTTTCTGGCTGGTCAGACCCGTCGCATTTTCTCTGTGTGTGGTGTTCTCTTTTCTAAGTTTGGAGAGCAGGCCCCGGCTGCTGTTCCAGCCGGAGAGCAGTCCTCTTTATCTTGGAAATCTGCCAGCCAGAGGAAAAAATGCAGATTTGGGTGGTTTGGTTTTTCTTCTTTTTCCTTTCATTCTTTTTAAAGAAAAAGCGGGAGAACTATTAGTTTCTAGAAGCCACTGCATGGCTTAGAGCAACTTAAGAGTCTTTCGTGACTGTGAATGGTAAAGCCACCCTGAAAGTGAGGAACACCCCATCCAAAAGAACTAGTTGCACAACTTTTAAAAAGTGGAAAGATTCTCTTGTTCCAGAAATCAAGTTCATACCTGTTGTAGATGTAACATGGGCAGTTTTCTTTCCTGGTTTTCTTTTTATTTATTTATTTTTCCTCACTCTTTGAAGCTGGTGAGAAGTAAAGTGCCTCCCATCTGCTCTGCCTGTCTTTTGAGATGCATTCTCAGGTGCACATGCCCTGTATAATATATTAAGAGTGAGGAGAAATACCTTGTTTATAATGTTTAATTTTGTGTCTCATAAACTTAGGAGGTTGCCAGTTTTTTGAGGATTACTAAATCATCAACGGCTACATGATAAATCCAATAGAGGTTATTCTCAGGATGTTGTGTCCGCAAGTAACTGGGTCCTCTACCAGAGGAACTGAGCTGGATGCTCAGTGGCAGAGGTGGAGGCAGAAGATTTCTTCAGAAAGCATTAATCAATTGATTTGAGTTATTAGTTTCTCCCCACAGTTGAAGATAAGCAAGAAAATTATTCAGAGGCACAAAATGAAGCAGCATCTGAGAATTGAGTGTTATTGATTTGAAGCAACAGGTCCAGCAGGTAGTAGAGGATCAGTGTATGCTTGGGACTGCCTCCTTGGTCAAATGATAAGACCTAGCATCAGATTTCAGAAAAATGCTGAAAGGAAACTTGCTGTCATAAATATATGGAACACTTCTGCAAGTTCAAATCTCATGTGAAAAGACACTTCTTAAAACTTTGACCTGATTTGTTCTATTACCAAAATGACATGTCTTGAAAAAAAAAAAGATGCCTGGGCAGCTGTTAGAAGAACATCAGAATCAGCCTATAAAATCCAATCAACATAATGTTTGAATGGAAATTTAAATACAATTGTGTCTTCTCCCAAAATTGTAGAATTAATGTTCTTGAAGATGGATGAGAGAAACCTGTTTTTGTTGTAACACTGTAGTCATTAAGATACAAACAGAAGCCTAGTTGAACATATTCCAGAACCAAACAGCATTGCTCAAAAGTGAAGTACTCTCAGCACAGGGATCAATACCCACCTCTATATACCTGCTCTGCTGTTGACCCATATTATGTGAAGCAGAATTAATCTGGATTTCCACTGATATATCCCGGGAGGCCTGCGTTGTGGTACCTGAGATAAATACCTGTGATAGCTGGCATGCCACTTATGCTGGCTGCATTTGACCCGTGTCCTTTGTGTGACAGCGCTCGGTGACAGTGCTACGGTCCAGCAAATTGCTTTTTGTTGCTATATACTGGTTTTATATCTCTAGTTTTGATCTGTAGCTGCAGACATTGTGGGATGGGAGTGTGCAGCTCCGTGTCGGGAGTGTGCATACAGGCGTGCCAGGCGGCTTGGGAGCTGCCAGGGTGGACTGTGGTAGCTTTCTGTACCTGGAGTCTTATACAAAGGACTAAGTTCTTTAAGGGTATCCAAGTATTCATGTCCATGTGAAGTAAAACACTTTTGTCTAATATCCTGTGCAGTGTTTACGTGTGGGCTGTGTGTGTACTTATATTGAGTATTGTCTTGTAGTTTCTGCACTGTGTATTATTCCATGCTTACTTGTGACAGATGCCTACAAGTAGACATCTAGAGTCTTTGTGGATTGTGCAGATCCAGTTACGTGCAAGAATGCAGTGCCTTTCAGATGCACTCCAGTGCAACCTGGCCACTGCTGTGTGGAGCAGAGATCTGGCAGAAGCCTGTGAGTTGTGCCTGCTATGGGGGCCTCCCAGGAGCAGGGGACTGCCCACGCATCCACAGCATGGCTGAGGAATCAGCAGTGTTCTCTGTCTACCTGCTACCAGATGAAGGAGGTCTCATACTCCTGATAAAGTCCCAGGAGAGCTGGTACAGTGTTCTCTCATTCCAGTGTTTGTATTTCCACTGACACAAGTGGAATTTTCTATGTGGATGGGAGTTAGTAGTATATTTGTGTAGGTATTTATTATATGAGATCTTGTCTATGCAACCATTTGTTAATTTCGATTTCCTTGGTAAATGACCAAACATTTTTGGATTTGCAAACTAAAATCTGTGCAGTCTTGATGGTAAATAAAGTTAGAGAAATGGAAACTTAGATACTGATATGGCCCAATTTGGTGAGATAATAGAAATAAATAAATAGTGTTGCGTGTGGAGCTGCTTTTACTCCAATGCCTCAGTGTGCGTATAATTAAGAACAAAATCCAAAACCCATCATTAAGAGAAGTGAAGGTAAGGTAAAATGCTAGCAGGTCATCTCCTTAATTCAGGCAATCTGCAAAATATAGTGACTATGTGCAAAATTTTACAAGGGAGATTGGCCTCTCAGCAAAGTTTGTGTACAGTGAGCAAACTAGATGCTTAAGTGTTACTAAATACAAGTGTGTTATTTATTACATCAAGAGTATATTAAGAGATTTGCAGATAAATAGGAAATCAAGATCAATGCCCTGGAGACTTTACAATCAGAGTAGTCCGTTGTAATTTATTTGTTAATTTATAAAGAGAGACTTTTGGGGAGTGTCGCACAGTGCCATTATGGTCCTCAGGGCTGACTTTTGCATTTAGGTATCCATGTATCACTGAAATCACTGGGATATGCTGGCTTTAGCAGAAAGATAGCTGACTAGCCAAACCAGTTCCTTCAGAAATTGTCCTTATCTTCCTTGAGCACAAACTGCTTTTGCTTAATAGCTCTTCGGAAACAAGGCTAGTGGAAGGTTTACTTCATTTTTGGGAGGATGACAGTACCTTCATGGAATGGTTTTGCATAAAACTGTTGATGTTGCTACAAACTCTTGCACTAGTCCAGGTTTCAGTTGTATGTGTGCATCAGAGAGTACAGTCACATACATGGGTATGTGAGTGGATTATCCCAGAAAGAATTGATACTCAAAATTGGTGTCAGTATGTTATGTTATAAGCACCAGCATTTACGGGTATGAGAACTTGTGTTAAATCTCATGTTAGACTTTTGTATTGCAAAAGGGTTTGTGTAACACAAATTTGACTTGTAGAACTTTTATTTGAGGGAGCCAGAACTCATAAAAGCATCTTCTGGCTGTTCTGTATTAGAAACACTTCCTGGGGTGACCTGGCTGACAAACCTTTATAAATCTAGACTAGTCAAATTCTGTAAAAAGATTACTTTCTAGATACAATAATTGCCATTTTGGAATTGTGTGAATTGCATTAGGCATCTTCTAATTGTGTTTATAATTTCTCAAACCCCATTCTGCTGTACTGCTCTCCTTGGACATCTACTTACTAGTGAAAAATGAACTTCTGTCAGTCAGGGCTCATCTGGCACAAGAATCGCATTCAGTTGGCTGGGAAATCGCTAGCTTTATCAGAAAGAGAAAGTTATTAGGAAATGCAGCAAAGCTGTTATTTGCTTCTCAGTGGAAGGATCGTTCTAACTTTTTGACTCCTGCATTTGCTTTGTGGCAGTTGTAGGAGGTTTGGAGCCTGTGATGAACACTCAAGCAGCAGTTTCTGCCGTGACAGGGATAGTTGCCTGTCTCACACTCGCCTTGAGGTTAGCTTGAGCAACACATCTTGCTCTAAGTGCAGAACTTTCCTCTCTGGGTCCTGAGCAGTGCTTCATCCAGCACCTATGAGAGGGACCATGGCCGGGAGCTGTGTGATGCTGAGCTCTATGGCAGAGGAACAGGGATAATAATGAGGGGCCCTTACCGCTGGGATGCACCCTTCAAACATAGCTCCTGCAATGCCACGTACCTCTGGTGATGAGGGTGGAACAAGAGCTGTGTTGGATGTGACTCTTCAGAAGTTCCTGAGAACCACTGCTGTTCATACCTCTTGGCTTCAGAGAGCTTGTGAAATGCACAAGTACATGGAGGGCC